CATTACGTGTGTGTGTGCAGAATACAATATTCTGGTAGACTGATAAACACTGTTTATCATTATTCCTGTGTTTTTCTCATTTTGCCACCAGTGGATAAATGTTAAGTCTTTGTCACATGTCACAGCTTCTGATGTATAGTGACTGTATAAGTGTTTTCAGGATATTTCAGCACTTTGTAAACAACTAAAAACACACAAAAAAAAATCACCGACTGGAATGATGTCCCTGTGCGTAAAGCGTGCGTAAAAGTGAGCCAAAGTCCTCATACTAATGGATGTGCCTCCGTATCTTTTTCAGCGCAACTTTAAAAACCATCCACGAAGTTTGCACCTAAAACAATGGAGCACCTGGAAAACTCCACAGCGCCCACGAAACGCCTCGTCCTGCAGACGCAGAGCAGCGCCGTTACCCAGGCGGACAAGAGCGGTGGGAACGCGTACCTGTACATCCTGATCGTCATGTGTTTCTACGGGGTCTTCCTCTGCGGCATCATGCTCGGCTACTTCCGCTCCAAGCGGCGTGAGAAGAGGAGGGTCAACATCTTCACGCGCCTCGTGCACGAGGAGGAGCAGCGGGAGTGGGGCGCGCTGCCGAAGAAGCACAGCCTCTCCTTCCCCGTCCCCGCCGCGTCGGGACTGCGCTCCGTGCACGTGTCCCTGCCCTTCTGCGGTAACCACGGCAACCACTTCGGACACCTGCACCGCGAGGACGCGCTGCCCTCTCCGCTGGCGTGCGCGCTGCTCGCGGAGCAGAGCAGCGTCAGCTCCCTGTGCTCCTCCGCGGACACGCGCTTCGCCATAGAGGAGGAGGAGTCGGACAGCGGCACGGCGGAGGGACCGGAGGAGATCACGAAGGGAGGCTCCGACAACAGCGGGGACGACTCAGGCTGAAACTCCCTGAGATACGTGGTCCATCTGAACAAGAGGAGAAACATCAGCTGGAGAGAAGAGGAGGATGTGAAGCGTCTCTCCCTGAAACAACACAACCATAAATCTATTCTGCCATAAAAAACTTTGATCAATAGCATCATGATCTGATCTCCAGCTCCGGCCTGGATAAAGTCACACACACATGTGGCCAGTGAGAAGTGTTTTAAATCTTAAACCCACAGTGGAACCTTTTCCATCTGAGTTCTACTGTCCTCAATTTGAACAGCAGCAAGATAAAAACAATAACTACACTGGTCTGTTTGTATGCTTAATGTTGGGATAGTGTTTAACTCATATCTCCCTCAATACATCGTGAAAGCAATAATTTAAGTAATAACTTTATCTATCCCTGCATGGGCAGCTCAGGTCATCACGCATGTTAAATAGGAAAGTCAAAACAATCAAATGAGGTATACTCAAAAACTACATCA